ATTGTGAGGAGGGACCAGTCACTGGAGAAGGCTATCATATTTTGTAAGGTGGAGGTTCAGAGAAAAAGAGGAAGACCCCCAGCAAGATGGATTGGCAAATAGGCAACATCAATGGGCTCAAGCGTGGAAACAATTGTGAGGCTGGCCTAGGACTGGGCAGTGTTTCATTCTGTTGTGCATAGGGTCATTAAGAGTCGATACTGACTCGTTGACACCTAGCAACGACAGCACCAAATGGACTCAAGGGCACTTAACAACAAAATAATAAAAGAAGAAGGGTTTTAATCAATAGATTATAGCTCCAACTAAGCTAGAAAAAGGAAATAAACCGATATCAAGTGGAAAGAAGGAAATCATAGGAAAATCTCCAAATACGGAACGATCCCACAAATTTAACAAACTTCTGAATAGGTCAAGCAGGAAGTCTCAAGGGAAATTTAAAATAATAATAATAATTGAACTTAATGAAAATACAACATCAAAATTTGGGTTATGGCTAATGTAGTGTTTAAAGGAAAGTCTATAATTAATTATTACTTAGAAAAGTCTGAAATTAATAATCTAAGTTTCTACCTCCAGAAACTAGACAAAGAGTAAACTAAATCCAAAGCAAGCAGAAAGATGGAAATAAAGAATAGAAATCAATGAAATTAAAAATACAAATAAATATAAATTACCAAAAACTTGGTTCGGTGAAAAACCAATAGAATTAATAAACTTCTAACAAGCAAAGAAAAAGAGAAAACACAAATTATCACTATCAAGAATGAAAGAAATATCACTAAAGAGTCTACAGACTTTAAGGTTGTAAATAAGAGAATGCTATGGACAATCTGAAGCCCATACATTTGATCATTTAGATGAAATGGACTAATTCCTAGAAAATCACAAATTATCAAAACAAACTAATGTAGATCAGAGTTTGGCAAACTGTTCTGCAGGCTAAATCTAGCCCACCATTTAATAATGGCTTCTGCACTTTTACAATGTTAGAACTATATTTAAAAAAAAAGAAAAAGTTAAAGACACTTGATAAATACGTGAAGTTCACATTAGTGCCATAGAATTTTGTTGGAACTGAAACTCATTTATTTACATATGCTACTTTCATACTAGGGTGCAGAGCCGGGTAGCGGTGGCAAGCTGTATGGCCTGCAAAGCCGAAGTACTTACTATCTTGCCCATAACAGAAGAGGATGTGTACGTCTGACACAGACAATCTGAATCACCTTATTAAATACATG